TTGGGTCAATTTCTGGCTCTCAAAACCACCAGATTCGTGGTTTGTGAATCTTCGAGACCCCAACACCGTAACAACCAAACTAGGAGCATATCCCTCTTCAACAATCCGAGGTTAAACTGCTTTGTTGGGTATTCACATTGAACAACGCCGTAAACATAAGTGAAACACAGAATTTGTGATAAGTAAAGGGACGAAAACATTATGATAGGAAGTCACAGTGTCAGCAGCCTAGTCAATAAAGTTTCCTTAGGTGGAAATAACGATAATATACCCAAACGCACAGTATGTTTGCCTGTTATAATTATCACCACAGCCTCTCTCTTCTTCAGTTGGTGTACATAAATGATATTCTAGTCCGCTCCAGCTCACTCGTAATATACAACTTATTGGCAGACGATAGTAGTCTCTCTGCCAGTCACTCACATTTCCATTCTTTTATGGGAAATATGAACACTGAATTTACTAAAATCAGGAACTGGGCAATGTGTAATTAACTACCCGTAAAATACTGTACGTATATATTTATAACATGTAAAAAAAAGGGGGGGGGGAAATCATGGTAACATTCTCATAAGTATTTACCAACAACATGTTACGTGCACTAATCCAGATACTAAATGTTATATAAATACTTCCTTGAGATAAATGTAAAGTATATTCAGGTGCCACATTTACTCTCCAAGGCGCTATATATACTGCATGCGTGTGAGGTAGTGGATGAGGCCTGACCATATGAATCATTATCAAATTGTACGTGTTTGAGCAAAATCAGTAATAGTAAATATATCTGACCATTGCTATGTGAACTCGAAACGGGTATATGTAAGTGATGCAGCTAACAGTACGCCCACAGCCTATACCTGATGTACAGTAATTCACTCTCCTTCGAAGCCGAGTACAAGCATCATTCGCGACTACTTCATTACTGTATATACTTCGTTTTAACGGCTATGTTTTGTTCTTGATTGTTGTAACATACAGTATAGTGCGTATCTTTGTATACTCACCTGTAGGATTTAAAAGCTTTTGTCAATTTGAGTATTTCTGCTGTATGGTTCATTTGAATTGAAGGTTAATAATAACTCAATGGTTTGTTGTTCAATTTTTTCTCTACAAATGTACTTATTTATCTTATTCAAATCGTCATATTATTTTTTATGCTATTGTATTTAATTTTATGACTTTCTTGATATTACAACTAATTTCATGTATAACTCTTCACAATGGTCTGAAACTTAAAGTGAGGTCAATATTGCTGTTGTAATACATTCACAATTTATTTACCAAGATAAGTAACACAGTGAATACCTTTTGAGACCTGTAACTATGAATGGCTGTAAATTACGCTTTCATAACATTTAATTTTCAAGTTATACACTTCTTTTATGACACAATAAATTCTAAATCATTTACTTGTCATTCGTTATTTATCACCGACGGGTTGACAAACCTGCCGCCGTTAAGGCGATTCGCCCCGGCCGGCATAGTGTGATCTTGACGTCATGAGAAGGTAATGTTCCCATTGGGTAAAATTAACCCGGTAACAAGCAGCTTGTGATTGGTCAGGGAGTGTGGGCCGCCTGTATATAAAGCCTGGTACACTGGCTGGAGTACAGAACACTGGTGTCCGACGACGGTGCAGCAGAGGGTGAAGGTACTGTATGTAGTGGTACTGTAGTGTTAAGCTCTGATCAATTTTATTTCGATTGTATGAATACTATGAAATATTTGGATTATTAGTCATTTGATTGTAAATTCGAAGCTGGAGTTTAAACTTTTACTAGAAAAAAATGGAAAAATTTATTAGTCTTTTGAATATTAACTCAACTGATACATTTTAATTAGCTATTCATGTTCTAGCTTTTTCACCAGGGTACAATTATATCTATCTTTTACTTTTTTATATTTCTCTAACATGCTGGTTAGACCAAGCTAGCTGTAGTGTTTCCTGAAAGATTGCTATACACCATGGAGAACAGTTGGAAGAATCTCGAGGAGCAGTCTTACTATAGCTGAAGCGCACAATACCGAGAATTGCTCGATTACTCAAGCTTTACTTCGGTCAGGAGACGGATCCTTTCCACAGCTTCAAAATGGGTTTCTTGTTTCCTAGTAAACGAGGTAAACTCTAAATGATGTTTAACTAAAAGCAATTTTGGCTTAAAAAAAAAGATGGTTTTCCGGCACCTTCGTGGTATATATTCGTGTTGTCTTTTTCTCAATTGTTTTCATAACCAAGGTGGGATGTTCCCCGTAAAAAGCAATGTTCCAATTATAATATGCGGTTCGAATGTGTTAAGGGATTAACTACACACTGAATATATATATGCAACCAATAAAAATTTACAATTGAATTATTTTTTCTCGTATCCACTTATTTTCCATGTAAAAATACGTCTTAATTTTCTAGTTAACGAATTCTAACCTCGGGTACAACTAAACCTGGACTGCGTCTGCTATTAAAAGTGTCCCAAAATATTCTAATCAAATATTTAAAGGTATTAAACGCTTCTACCTCTAAGAAAAAAAAAACCCCAGACATTTTCACCTTTAAAACTATAAGACCGTTTCACAACCAAACCCACTGCCAATGGACATATGACCATGCTATATGCGTTTGATTTTAACTTTTCAAATCGCTGAAAGTAAAATTTCATCTTCTAATACTGTAATTCAAAATACACAAATTCTCGTATCAAAACAGCGGGCGAAAAACGAGCAGTGTGACCTTGACAAGATTAAGATTAACCTTAACTTAGTGCTGTCAGAACCTCACTACCACGTTAAGTGGTAAAACACAAAGAAATATAAGACCTTGGAAAACTTGACCTATAAATAAAAATATGAAATAACATCTTTGAAGTGTGTTAATGCGCTACTACTATACTAAATATTGATCAAGTCTTTCAATTTAGCAAGACCCACGTAAAATCAAATTATAGTAAAGTTATCGTTTTGTTCACGTAGCGAATTTCGGAATTTTAAGTTTGGGACTCGGGAATTCCGACAATTTTAAAACCCTTCTCTATTGCGTTTCCATCGGAAGTGTTTTTAAGGGTATTTGAATAGATAAAGGTGACAAACCTTTCTAGTTTACAACGGACAGGACTTTGAAGTTGACGGAAAATGTGGGATAAATAAAAACATTTACCTCGGGTTCGAGAAGCTTTAAGTTAAAAAATGTCGTGGCCCCTATTGTATCCTGTACTGTATAACAGATTCGCGTCTGGGCTCCCAGTACCCTTATTGTGTTCGGTATTGCATAAGACTCGTATCTAGACGTCCAGTGGCCACTCTGTATTCTCTACTGCATAATAAACCCGTATCCGAACTCCCAATGGTCCCATTGTATTGAGTATCTTGCAAGCTACAGTATTATATTGATTGCAAAAAAGTCCAATTCTATATTCTCTTTGTCGACAGGTGGTGATTTATCAAGGCGTGGAAGGGAAGAATACACGGACATCCATCAAATGTATCCAGTCAGCCACACAAAACGAATACAAAAAGCTCTACACACAATTTTCATAAATACCTTGTGTATAGACAGCCAACCAGCCGTTCATCTCGGCCAGTTCTCATGTACAGAACCAAATACACAATGTGCTTGAATACTTCTCACGTAAATGTGAATAACAAAGTGTGAGGCCAGACGTACTGCCTCACGAGCCTGTACTCACGCAGTTGTATAGGACTAAACAAATAATATAATTGAAATACTGTGTAATATTCAGTGCCATAATATCCTGACAGAGGGGGTTAATTATGACCCGTTGTAAACTCTATTCTGTAATTCTTTTGCGCTACCGCTCACAGGATGAGTGTGAGGTGCACAATAAAGTAGCCGCTGTAAGCGGCAAAATAAAAAAATCAATCTCAGCCGGTCACACGTTCACCTCAGAGCCACGGGAAGAAGGGCGTCTTGTTTATACAGTATAGTAAAAAGCTGGTCTACATTTTTAATAAAATGTATATAAAGGTGAACTTATGTTCAGTGTAATTAACTTTTTAAATATTCTTCATACGGTATCTTTAATTATTTAAAAGGTTATTAATTAACACGAATTTGTAAATTGTGAACTTAAACCCTTAACATGTACAGTAGTACCTTTATTAAAATTAAACAAAAATCAATTTAAGAAGCCACCTAATACATACACCTGTAAACTATTAAAACCCACACTAGGCTTATACGTCAGCAAGTATTACATGAAGTTCTATACGTTTCGGCTACGTACTATTAAACCCTCGTGTCCAGTGTAGTCATTCCATTCGTCTATATTGTATTCTTTCTACTGTAAGATCGTGTGATTATATTATCTTAAATACTGTGATAATATATTCAATTGTATAGCATTAGCTGCCCCCCAAACCCTACGTCTGATTCAACTCCTACCCAAGAGAATCCGAAAGCTTAGTATTAAACACTTAAGTTTCGCGTTCATCTTCTACATCTCATTGTATATATGATCTAAACTTCAGCATAAACACAATCAAAACTGTACACTCAATTTCCGTAAGGACTAATAACTCATCACCCTTGTTTGACCAAATCCAATCAATCACCTAAATTAACTTAAACCAGAGAGGCCTTGAAGCACTCATAGTGTGACCTAGTATACTCCTTGTATTAGTGGACAGCCCAAGCAATATAATGCATGTCTCTAGGATTCAATAAAGCACCTTCCTTTTTGTGATGTATTTTCACCAGTGATTTCTTTTTTTTCTCTCTTCGGGGATCGCCACTCGAGGAAACGTCATCATACAGAGTATTCAAATGTCTTCAGGTGTCGAGTCACTCAAGAAACTTCTATACACTGAACAATACCATCCAGTTATTTTCTTATTTGATTAATTTAAAAGGGTTGATAATTATGTATATTTTTATGTAGAATTTTTTATTAACTAATTCATTCCAAATAAATTATACAATCACTCCATAAATTATCTGATTCTATTTCATATATAATTTACTTAAAATAAATTTTATAAATGACTTACCAGAATATCAAAACTAAGGCTAAACAAAAACTTAAACATTTGCCAAGTGTTGAGTGTACTTAAAAAGCAACACAAAGATTATCAGTGTAATCCAAAATTTACACAAGCTACAACTCTTGTGTTCTGGTGTGTTGCAGGTCATGTGTGCCCCAACACAACACTTAAGAGTGAATCCCATTACAAGTTGGCCCTAATGTTACAAGGTTACGTTAGATTGGGGCCTATCACGACTAAGGTTCGTTAGATTAGTCCCCGATTTATCTACATCACGTATTAAGTCCTATATTATCTTAACAAGCATTTTTCTTAATTATGGCATTCGTAACACACAGCATTGATTAACTGGCACATTTTTTCGATACATCTACAATATATTATAAACCTTTGAAATGATTAAAACCGGAAACAAATTTGAAACATTTAGAAAACTTAACGTATTTGTATCCTGTTATATTTGTAATCATCCGTGTGTATGTCTGTGCCTGTACATATGCACCACACGTGTGCTTGTATACATTCATATGTGAATGTTGAACAAGCCTCGACAAGACTCCAGGACCCTTGTGGTACAACAGCAACATCTGAGCGCTTCAGTTAAACAAGATTAAGAAGATATCCAAGACCTGCACCCGTTCCCGGTAATCTACAGGTGGGCCAACGTGGGGATGGCTGTAACATGGTAATGCCGGAAAACTATTGTAGCCCAGGACAGCCAACCTGACATTAAATACCGTAAGCATTATTTACTATTGTGTGTTTGGTAAAAATGTGATGGTGGACGTGTGTATTGGCACGCCATATTAGTGTATACGTGAAGATTGTATGTTTCTATATTTGAATTTTAAGTTCAATTGTGAGTTAACATGACTGTGTGTATCACCGAGTATGTAACTAAGAATGGCACATAAGTTATAATATTGATATACACTTTTTATTATATTATATCAAACATTACTCCATATAGCAGGTGTTGTCTCGTGTACGCGTCTTATCGTGGCGAGACAACAGTCGGCTTCCCTCCGTGTATTCTCCGTAGTTCAAGAGGTTTCACCGTCTTGCCAAACTTCATGCTTGGTAGAGAGTTGGGAAACATATCTGGGAGGGGCTTGCGTAATCTGAGAGCAAACACCCCACCATAGATCTCATTCCAAATAGCTTGTGCATCGAGACTGCTCAAACTTTCCGCCAGTGTCTGGACATGGAGAACCGTGGCCAATGGTTTCTCTGTTTTGGATTGTAAGATTGAAGGTGGGAAGACTGACGCATTAGGTCCTGTGAGGCGGTCCAAGTGGGGTATGAATGAAGGTTTTGCAGTTGTAGTCGTAACACCTGATCTGGGAGTCGAGGGGGCCCTGAACGAGGTTGTGGTGGGTGAGTGTGTTACTGTCTGGAATAAATGAGGTTTAGCTGTGGTTCCTTGTGGTGTCTTTTGGCCCTTTCTGGTAGTGGTTCTCGCTCTGACTGTTTCTGCTGCTGTTTTTGTCGTGATTCTAAGAGCCAGTTCTCGTGAGGGGTTCCGAATATTTTTAGGAAAAATACCAGCAAACAAAGGTGGAGTCAGATTACGGCAGCCAATACTAAAAATTTGATAGTTCAACAGACAGATGCCGTGCTCTACCAGTGCCTGGTGGACGGTGAGGGTGTAATCGTCGAGGATTGGTTTCAGGGATCGAAGGAAGTTTCTATAGTCATCGCAGGAACATTCCCCCACAGTGTTGTTGGGTACAGCTACATTTATCATCGGGTTCGTGATGAAGAAGGCGTGGCCGGGGAGAGCTTTTGTGAGCACATTACTCGTGAAGTGGAAAAAGGGCGCAACAGCACTCCCGTGACGTCTAGACTCGCGGAGATCAAACAGTGGCCGCGGCTCCTCTCCATCAATAGCAACGGGGTTGATGTAGTCGTTGTCGATCATGACACCACTGAAGTACCTCCCACTGATGCCCCCAGGCTCGTAACTCCCAAGGCTGCTCCTCGTCAAGTAGAAGAAAAATGCATTGTTGAGCCTGATGGCATTATTGCCAACTTTATTGACATTACACTTGTCAATCTGCACGATGTCTGCATCATCCAGCCACACACCGCCTTCATGAATGGTGTCTATGATGGAGTCTTCCATGATGAAATTAGCTATTTTACTCTTCCCTCTACCGAAGGCATTACGCTCTATGTCACCGATTCTAGACTTAATGAATCTCAGGAAGCGAAGATGTCTCAGGTCGGAGAAGGCATCGCTGGAGATACTCCCTATTTCTACATTCTGAAAGACGACACTGAAGATGTTCTCCAGGGCGCTGAAGCTGAAGCTGGGTATAACGGGGATCTTTGTGTCCTCTATGACCACGGCAGCCAGGTGACGGAGGCCGTACAGGAAGGTTTGGGAGGGGATCCTGAGGTCTTTGATGCCTCTGAAGGTGAGGGAATGCAGGGGCAGGGGCGCCAGGGAGTCCGACATACCCACGGTGGCACATCCCTCCACCGTCAAGTTGAACACGTTGGTGGGCAGATCCGAAGTCCTGATCGTCATGTCCTGTTGGTGAAGAACACATTATAACTTTACAATTAGTGGATAACGAAGACAAAAATAAATGATTGTTATCTCCGTGCTCCCTTAACCCTTTGATGGCGATAGTTTAAACCTTTAACGCTTTTAATAAGATGGTTGAACCCTTTTCCATACGTTGGATTAAACCATCGTCCTCAAAGGGTTCAACCATAATCTTCAGTGTTAAACAATTTCCCATCAAAAGGTTAAATCATAGTCCTGAAAAGGTTAAATATCATCCTCCAAGAGCTAAAGTTTTAACCCATCGACCTCAAAGGGTTAACCCAGAGTTCTCAGAGAGTTAAAAGTAAAACCCAACCCAACCTCACGTTTAGACTATACCATATAAACAGGTGGTCCATTTCACTCTCCTAGTACTAGTGTATGAAAGATTCATAATAGTCGTGTGTTTCATAACAAATTTAACAAAACCCAAACGAGAGACATAACCTCCTCCTCCCTTCAGTAAAGTGACATCCACAGTCTCTTCAGTAAATATTTCTTGGAGCAGCAGCTGTGTATCTCATCCTTTTTTTAGTACAGTACTTTGTAAAAAACAGATTTATGTTGTATCGCCACCACTTTTATTATGGGTAATTTATATGTATGTTTCTCAAGCTCAGAATTAACTTAAGCTTAATAACAATTCTAAGCATATAAACTGCCATAACTAATGCAGAATTCGCAATAAAGTCTATTATGCTATACTTAAAAAAAAATAACGCAAATTAAAAAAATTCTCAACAATGAATCATCTATTATTAGGATACAAAAATCCCCTCCGGCAATACCGATTAACGAAGAAAACATACCTAAAACGGAAGCCATAGCTAGAACGACTGACATAGACACACACACACGCTGGAGGATGATGGTGGCCACGTATACAGTATGCATTAAGGTCAGAGTCATCCAGGGGCCTCGTAATGACGCCTATGGACCTCTCCCGTTGGTAATTTCCAGCCATTTTCCTTGGCCATGTAACCATCACCTCAACAGGGGGTCTAATACGTGTGTCACCTCTTGCATCTAAAGAACAGCCAATCAACTGTCACTAAGCAACTTGACGTCATTGGTGTATCAGTTACTGTGAGCCAATCGGCTATTTTGGGGCAACCTGGCGTCATGTGGTGTAAGTTATCGTGAGCCATGTAGAGAGAGAGAGAGAGAGAGAGAGAGAGAGAGAGAGAGAGTATCACGTGGTACGGTGAGCCTTTGAGCGAGTGAGAGAGACAACTGTACCCTCTTGACGTTTCTTGCTAGTACATGCTCATTAGCGCTGCGATACCCCCAAAATTGAATCATTAACACAACATACTTAAAAAGAGATTATCCGATGATGGACGACCTGTGCTACGTCTTATTATGGTACACTCGACACCTACAGGTAAAATAACAACAGCTAATGGGTACCAAACACCTGCCACTAGTTAGAGGTGTGAATTAACAAAAGCGAGGCCTCAGCTGCCGATCGCCATCTTCGCCACTACGATTGTTGCATCTTATGAGGAACAGAAACCTCTCGCTTATTTTACCTGATGATTAAACACCCCTAACGCTAGATAAGGGGGGGTTTATATCTGGTGAGGTCAAGTCAGGTCAAGTTACGTTACGTTGGTAAGTTAAGTTAGAATGTTCACCAGAGATGACATTCACGTTCCTCTGAATATTCCCAGGAATCCTCTAACGTCACCTGTATCTCTCCTTACAACAAACAATTACCTATCACATTCTCATTTACCAAACAACAAATTCCACCATGACACCCAACATTCACAGCAACCAAAAAAAACAACAACAACAACAACAACATTCACAGCAACCCAAAAAAATCGCACATATTGCGTAGAAACTGTCACACACTTTTTACCTGGGTATCATCAGCATAATTTTGTAAGGAACCTTGAACGACTATATAAAGAAGTAATTGGATAATGTTAGTGATGAATTAGGGCAAGTGAGAATATAATGGTACTAATTAGGCTTACCACGGCAGAGTAGGGTGGATGAGGGGGTGAAGGGGGAGGGAGTAGGAGATGGAGAGTGAGGAGGGGAGGTAGGGAGAGAGAAAGGGAGAGGAAGGGGGGTGGCGAGTAGGGAAGAGGAGGATGGATAAGAATAGGAAAGAAAAGTGAGGAGAATAAATATGCGAGAGGGAGAAGGTTGAGTGCACATTGAGGAGGCGTTGAGATGAGGAGGAGGGGTTGAGATGAGGAGGAGGCGTTGAGATGAGGAGGAGGAATTGAGATGAGGAGGAGGAATTGACATGAGGAGGAGGCGTCAAGTGGAACACACCATAAGATGTGGATACCAAAGGCTTAATTAAAACCCCATGAGAACACTAAAAAATAATGCAAGCAGGTACTGAACAGCGACTTCCGGTACCGTGTGTAGTATTGGTGGTACAGTATAGTTGGTGTTCCGGTCCACTTGGTGAACCTTGGTGAACCACTCAGGGTTAACGACGCATATGTATACAATTAAGTCACATATGTGGCTAAGGCCGTCCGTCCCTGATTTCTATTGAGGTGTTATTATGGTTGATGGTACAGAGGCATATACAGAAACACAACAGTACTTAATAATAATTCAATTTCAAAGTAAGAATCAATAATTTCTTAATATGACTTGAAACACCAAACACACACACACACACACACACACACTAGACATGATATACCGACAGATAAACATCTTCAAAAATTTTACCGAGTGACAGTATAAAAGCCAGAGCACCTCCTCTCCTCCTCACCTTAGAAAACGTGTTCCTGGCATCAAGCTCAACTATAAGATGAGGGAAAAAGTTGTGGTTATCATTACACTCAAGCTTTCCTTTTTTGAGTATTTTGGTATTTAAGTTCAGTTCTATCTGCCCTACGTCACGTTGTTTACGCACTGGCTCCCACATCCTACTAATGTCTTCACCAACAAATCGAACTAAAGTACAGTATACTCTAATAACCCAAATTGCCGTGTAATGTTGAGTCACTCAGTAAAACTCTCAATAACATCCACTAAGCACTAAAATAAGTTATCTCCCATACATACAGTAAACAACCTATAATTCTCTTAATACACATATTATTATTTTTTTGGATAGCATAAGTCATAACAAACCTTTAATTTCTCCTACCTATTTACGTCCACATTTTCTCATCACATTAAAACTTAGGTAAAAGTTCCAGTCAACAAACATCACAATGAACTAAGACACTTTCTTGACACACTTTTAAATCACTTCAGTTTCGCAAGACACTTTACGACCAGAAGACCTAACTTAACATTCTTGAGTGAGGCACCGCAAGTACTCACCCCTCCCCCCCCCATGGTCCCCGGAGATGACTTCTGGGTATACTTTTGTGACCTTCCTTTTCTGCTTCTCCTTGACCGGGGTTGGGTGGGTGGTGGGGGACAAGAACACCCTTATGTCACTGCCTCCACCATCACAACCTTCCCTCTCTATACTCCACCTAACATAGACCCTCCACCATATCTCTTGCATTCCTATTTCCTCCATTATCACCATTTCCTTCTTTCTCTCCATCCCCCCTCCTCCCCTCCCTCGGGTCTCTTCCCCTGCCCTCCATATCACCGACCTCACAGTGTGGTGGAAACCCCAGTCATTTTGGACCACCTAACAACCCTAGAAAGTCGTCAGTTATGGACCATAACCTTCCTATCTCCTACGCACGTGATGGTACCGCTGACTAAGGTACTTGATATAAGGAAACACAAGTGACTAAACTGGGTAAAACTAGATATAAAATATGACCGAATAAATGGAATTGGATAAAATTAATGAAAAACTAAATATAATCGATTACCTGGATACGAGACAACTGACTGTATGGATAAATGTAAGAAACTCACAATTAATATATGTTAAACCAAGCAGTTATAGTCCACAGTGTTATACAAGTTCTCACAGTTCTACAGTATATCCATTGGTTAAGTCGACAGGTGTCTCGACGATAGTACACCCTGGGTTAATCAAGTCGACAGGTGTTAAGGTGTTCCCGCAGCAACACTGTAGACTATCATTGTCATTATTACTTAGGAGATGATACAGGCAGCGTCGCAATAGTCTACGGTTCACCATCAGTAGACCGTGAACTTGGTAGTAATGTCTCTCACTCCACCACCGACTCGACCATTAACTTTCCCCCTCGCCCCAGGTTTTACACGAGGACCTCTGAGTAACACAAGCCCGTCATCACCAGGTAGCCGACAGAGAGGGGGTGCTCCAGGGCTGATATTTACGACATAATGTCTTAAAGAGCCGACAGGGACCAACCATTACTTACTACAAATTCCTACCGGGATGACACACCCGAGTAAGGACGTGGGGGCGAGACGATGCTGTACTGGCCTGGGGACGGTGAGGTTCCTATGTGACTTTTTCCCCCCTCAAACTAGACATTCATTTAAGCTACCCCCCCCCCCATCCAACTCCCTCTTCCACACTCGCCCATCCATCCATTCTCCACCACACACACACACGCCAGGACAACACACACCACAGGAGATAAAAAAGGAGTAAGCTACACCGTGTCCTCACCTATCATTCACCACTACACCAACCTATACACACACACCTTGACTCATCACCACAGCCCTCCGTCTTGTTCTCTTATAAGGAAGGTTCTCCCCCCACTGCTTGAGAACTTTTGTTGTAAATCGTATGTGTGTTGGACGGCCAAAATATCTCAAACTATAGCACAAGAAATAAAAAATATTTTCTGGTTTCCAAAGTTTACGAAAAAGTTAAACTTCCTACGAAAAAAATGCAAACAATATCTTTCCTTTCCTGTCCTGTCCTGTCCTTTCCTTTCCTTCCCTCCCTCTTTCCTTATTCCCCCCTTCCCTCTCTTTATTCCTCTTTTCTGCTTATTGCTTCCCTTATTCTTGTTCTCTCCTCCCCCAGCACTATCAATTTGTTCCGGTATTTAATCCGGGTTACCTTCCTGGTGTGACGGAGACTACCA